GTGTGTGTGTGTGTGTGTGTGTGTGTGTGTGTGTGTGTGTGTGTGTGTGTGTGTGTGTGTGTGTGTGTGATAGGAACAAAACAAGTGCATGAAACGCATTGCCCAAAGAACAGGATTTTTTTTAGCACTGTTTTGTGCATTAATATCAGTCAACTAGTGCCGGTGCAGACCAGGGCAGTCATCATACCGATAGACCCTGAGGGTGGTGGAATCCCTAAAGCGCTTTTCACCATTTGCACCAGAACCGCTTATCAGAGTGGGAGGTTTTCAAGCAAACCCAGTTTTTCAATATACGTATGGCAGAAGCCATGAGCAATACAGGCATTCAAATTCTCAGTCAGATATAAACAGAGATGTTAAATTACCAGTACCTACCGTGTTTTTTTTTTAGGTGTCAACGCGGTGGATGAATCGCTGCGCCGTGCGGGTCTGTATTCATTTGCGTCAGAGGGGCCCTAAGACCCCCTGAGGTACTGATGGTTTAACAAGAGACATGTCATATGGGAAGGACGGAAGGTGAAGGTAAGGAGTCGCAAAATGGAAATAACGCCTCTTACTTGTGTAGTTGATGCATCCAGGGCTGGGAGAGTTTCACATGTTTGGGCGAGGCGCCATGTTGATTGGTAGATCGATATCAAGACAGCACCCCGCAGTGTGATTGCAATGAAGTCACTACGGCTCTCAAGGCGTGGAAAGCTCAACAACAAGAGAAGGTAGCCCACCAAGTAATCTGTCAAAGCAATGAAGGTTATGAGTAGTTCTTGCCGACAAAACCAATCTCTCTCTTCGGCAGTTGAGGAACAAGCGAGGATTAGCCAAGTTCAAGGCGGAAGTCATGGAAATGTAAAGAAGATGGACCATGGCAAAAACCAAATAGGCAGCTCGTGCAGATGGGCATCGTAAGATGAGCACGGATTTGGTTTGGGCCGATGAATGTAGTTGCAAGAGGGATTGGGGTAGGGGGATTCAATCATGAAGGGTGGAGCTTAATTGGGTATAGGGTGGTCAAGAAAAGAGCCAGGTCGATGTAATGTGAGCAGGGTCTGAGAGTGGTCCGGTGAAACCAATAATTAGGAGCGATGTGGACAATCAGAGGAATGGGGGCTGATGTCTCGATTGTCGGCCGCGGCCAGAATATAAAGGAATCGTTCAAGAGCAGAAAGGCAGGTAGAAGCAGCCGAAGACATGGGGAAAGTGGAAGGGGTCAGATATTACTGGACTTGGGGTTCCGAACGTGCCTACAGGGATCAGCGACGACATAAGATGTGCAGAAGATGGGCATGGCGGAACAGAAGATGGCGAAGTACCCTGCTTCGGTGATGGGAAAAAGAACATCCCAGTTAGCTCGGACCACCTTACCAGAATGCCTGGGAACATCGTCCTGGCAATCCACAACACCATGATCAGGATCATGCAATGGCTGCTAACCTAATAAGCACTCCCCATCAACAAATAGATGAGCAAGCAAAAGGCGCGGGCCAACAGGCGACCTTTCGATGATCTGTGCACAGTTTGTGATGATGGGGTGCCAGAGGACATCACCCATTGTATGTTGCTCTGGCCAAAAGCCCGGCAGCTGCCGGACTATACCCATGCTCTATGGCATATGGCCACAGGAACCGACCTACCAGGCGATGCCCTAGCCTTACTGCTGGGACACCAGAAACTCAGAGGGCTGGACAAGTGGGCGCTGAAGCTTTACAGACGACTTCACCCACTCACACTCTGGAAAGTCTTGAAAAGATGTCAGGAGACTATCGAAGGGCAGGAAGTGGCCCCAGAGAAGGTATGGGAGGAGCTCAGACAGCTGCTAGATACGGAGTACTAGGCGGATTGGTTCGGAGCGAAGAAGCAAATCGCACAGGAGCCCAAGAAGACAAATTTGTGAATGGAACCTTGGGGAGTGGGAAGCTGAGACAGATAGAGGGCAACTGCCTTAGATGCATAAGGACACAGACTGCTCAGGGGGAGAGGGACACACAGGGGTTGGAGGACGTTAGGTCAGAGCCAAGCGAAGCAAGGCCGAGGGAGGCCAGCATTGCCTCGGACTGAAAGACGTCATGGAGAACAGGTGTTTAAAAGGGGCATAGGGCCTGGGGTTACTCTAGCTGACAATGTACATCAGGCGGCTAGGTAGCAGAGAGGAGCAAGTACGGAATAGCCTTATGTCCTTCAGGCTAGCTTAGGCAGGGTGAGGGGTGGTACATCCTTCCTGCGGGAAGTAATCAATGCCGTCCAGTCGGGCCTCCTGGAATGGGGAGGAGCGTGGTGTGAGTACATGATGTATTTTTGGTTAATAACAAAAACAAAAAAAAGGATGGTGTGTGTGATGGCTATGCAGATGGGACCATCTGAGAAGGCGGAGTAGAATCAGCACAAGTGCAACGGGTGGGGACAGACCGATGCAATGTTCGTGCAGTTTCTCAGTGGACTGTAACACTAACCAGTTCCTTTTTGTATTTTTTCTAAGTTCTGAGTCCTACCGGTACATTTCTGTGAATCCCCTAAAACTACTGCTAAAAGCCAGTACTACTGGTCCTAAACCTCGTTCAGGTCTAACCATTGCTTTGTTACTGCCTCATAGTGGTACCACTGTAACAAGAAAACACAGACCCATAACTGTTAGCTCTTTTTCAGGTCCTAGGAGTCTGGTCCGGAAGATTAGTGTAGAACTGTAAATAGAGTCAGTCCGGAGGGTTAGAGGTCTTTTGACCTGTTGGTCTTCGGTTGGTGAAGCACAGTTAATTTTGTTGATGCTGCCAGGCTGCTGGAGCAGCGCCATAGCTGGGAGGCGACTGCTAGGGTTCTGGTGCTGCTCTGAAGCAAGTGCTTCAGGCGCTGTGCCTGGTGACTGCATATCTGTGCTGTTGGGGTTAGGCGCTGCCGTACCTTATTCTCCGAGGCCGCTGTACTTCTTCTTCAAGCTGGAGACTCCTTCATCCTGGAGCTGGCGCTACACATCCTGGGTAGACTCTGACTCGGCGCTGATACATCCGGTGGACTTCTGAGCGGCGCTGGGGCAGATGAGGTTGCGGGAAGAAGGTGCTGGTGGTCTGCAGGGTTTTGGGGCTGGGTGCTGTTTTCTGGAGATGGCGCCGTAGCCGAACGAGGACAGAGTGATGTTGGAGGAAGGAGGAAGACTCCGGAGGCTTGACGAAGCCATTTTTCGAGTTTGTTCAAGGTTGTTTACCTTTGGTTGAGATTCCTGGGCTCTTTGTGAAGCTGATTGAATAGGAGAGAGACGGGGGAGTGTGCTTTGAGTTCTCTTTCAATTCTATCTGAGTTTTGAGCTTCCGCTGTGCATAGCTCCGTCCGGTTTGGTGTGGATTTCCTCTCCAAGTCTTCTTTGTCATCTCGCATGTTGTATGGGGAAATGCCGATACTCTGTTGGATGGTGTTTCAATCAGTCACTTAACACCGAAGCGAGCTTGGTTAAACTTTCTTTTCCTTTTTCTTCTTCTTAACCGTGTTGGTCATGTGAAAGTTAAGGGCCATTTCTCATCATTTCTTAAAGCGGGTTTTCGGAAGAACCTGGCGCACTGGGCCATATAGAAGAAGGTAGCTGCGAAAGCTATCATTGCGGAAGCTAGGCGTACCTCCTGGGGTAAGGGCCCATGTGAAAAACTAACACCATGGAGCTGTGATGAAAAAGGTGCTACATGGACGGTTTAAGGCCATATCAGGGCTGCAGGGAGCCCGGGGGACAAGGTAGGTGGGGAAAATAACTTTTTCTCTTAACCTCACAGGCTATGGGAAAATGTTGGCCTAGAACAAGAGAAGCTCTTCAAAGACTTTGGCACCCAAACACAACAGCATTTCTGTATGATCTCTCGAAGGTGTGTACTTCGCTTCTTCACATTCTTTTTGGAATCATTTGATGGAATCTGATATGAATGTTCGGTTTGTTTGTTCAGGAATCTGTGTTGGAATTTGACTTGCCAGGCTCTGGACGATCCAGATACATGTGTGTAAGTGCTCTCTCTCTCTCTCTCTCTCTCTCTCTCTCTCTCTCTCTCTCTCTCTCTCTCTCTCTCTCTCTCTCTCTCT